AGCCCCCCTGTCCCCCCTGCAGCCCCGGCAGCCGCACTGACACAGGCTGTGCTTGCGGGCGATGTAGCGCAGGATGGCGTTGCTCTGGGTCAGTTTGGTGGTGCCATCGATGAAGTACGGCAGCTGGAGGGGACACAGGGACATGGGGACACCGGGGCAGCGAGACCCCCCCAGTCCCAGCCCCCCAGCTCCAGACACCTACGTTGGGGAAGTCGAGGCCCAGCTTCTCCTTCTCGTTGATCCACTGGCTCTTGTCGTAGTCGGGAGCTGCAAGGGAAGGGGTTTGGCTGATGTATCCACCCCAAAAACCCCAAAAGAGGTTCAGGGTGGTGTGGGGACCCCCTGGCCCCCCTCACCTTCCCCACAGCTGTACAGCTTGTCCTCATAGGGCGTCTCCGTGTACTCCAGGAGCAGGCGGATGGCGTGGGCGAGCTGGGGAGTGGGATGGGTGAGACACCCCAAAAACACCCCCCAGACGTGAGCCTGCAACTGGCTCACACACGGGGAAACTGAGGCACAGGGGAGGGCAAAGTGCACCCCTGCCCAGGGCCCCCAGTCAGCACCCCCTGCACAGGGAACCCCCCAAAAGCAACATCCTCCCACCACAACTGCAGCAGGACCCCACAGTGCATCCCAGAGCCACCCCAAAGCTGATGTATCCACCCCAAAAACCCCAAAAGAGGTTCAGGGTGGTGTGGGGACCCCCTGGCCCCCCTCACCTTCCCCACAGCTGTACAGCTTGTCCTCATAGGGCGTCTCCGTGTACTCCAGGAGCAGGCGGATGGCGTGGGCAAGCTGGGGAGTGGGATGGGTGAGACACCCCAAAAACACCCCCCAGACGTGAGCCTGCAACTGGCTCACACACGGGGAAACTGAGGCACAGGGGAGGGCAAAGTGCACCCCTGCCCAGGGCCCCCAGTCAGCACCCCCTGCACAGGAACCCCCCAAAAGCAACATCCCCCCACCACAACTGCAGCAGGACCCCACAGTGCATCCCAGAGCGACCCCAAAATTAATCTCAGATTGACCCTAGAGTGCATCCCACACTGACCCCACAATTCATCCCACACCGTGTACTCCAGGAGCAGGCGGATGGCGTGGGCAAGCTGGGGAGTGGGATGGGTGAGACACCCCAAAAACACCCCCCAGACGTGAGCCTGCAACTGGCTCACACACGGGGAAACTGAGGCACAGGGGAGGGCAAAGTGCACCCCTGCCCAGGGCCCCCAGTCAGCACCCCCTGCACAGGGAACCCCCCAAAAGCAACATCCTCCCACCACAACTGCAGCAGGACCCCACAGTGCATCCCAGAGCCACCCCAAAACTCATCCCAGATTGACCCCACAGTTCATCCCAGAGCATCCCCAAAGATCAAGGAGACCTCCCACAGTTTCCCCAAAAGACCTGAGGGGCTCTCACAGCTTCTCCCACGGTTAGGACAGCCCAAGACCCCCCAAAACACCAGAAGGACCCCCACGGATTCAGCACAGCCCCCCAAGGGTGACCCCCTGCAGCCCCCCCAAGATTAATGAGGGGCCTCATTAGAGCTCCTTAGGAATGTGCTAATGAGGAGCGGGAGCGGAGGAGGAGGGGCCACGGCCGCCTCCCCCAAAACACCAGAGGGACCCCCACAACCTGCCCAAAAGACACAGGAGACCCCCGAAGACACCCCACAAGCCCGAAGGGACCCCCGCAGCCCCCCCCAGAGCGCAGCGGAACCGCCAGAGCCCCACCCCAAAAACCAGAAGGGACCCCACAAACCCCCCGAACGTCCCCGATAGACCAAAGGGACACCCGGGACCCCCGAAACCGCCCTAAAAAACCGGGGGGAACCCTAAAGACCCCTTAAACCCCCCCAAAAAGCGCAGGGGACTCCCGGACCGCCCGCTGGGGTCCCCGCAGTGCCCCCACCCGCGCGGGGGTGTCCCCAGGGGGTGGCGGGTCCCCACTCACCCCCCCCCACCTCAAGCTTTATCAGGGTCCCCCCTTTCAGTCCCCTCGGCTGCAGGGGGGTCTCACTATCCTGGGGGGACAGGGACCCCACCCTGCTCCCCACAGCCTCCACGGGGTCCCCCTTACCCTGGGGATGCAGGGGGCTGGCTGCCCCCATCCCACCACCCAGGAGGGTCCAACATCCCCCAGGGGTTCCCCCACAAATGCGGGGTTCCCTCAGCTCCCACCGCAGCCCCTCGGCAGCTCAGTGCACCCCACACAGCAGAGACAAGGGGGAGCCCCCCATGATTTATTGGGGAGTTCTGGGGTGACCTGGGCGGCGCGGAGGGATCTTCTCATCACTCCTTGGTGTTGGACCATTTGGCCGTGCGCCAGAAAATTGGGGTTCTCATGTAGCGCCCCGAGCGCATGTAGGCAGAGACCTTGTCCAGGGCCTGGGGGGACAGGGACACATGGGGACACCGGGGTTGGGGTGGGCACGGGAAAGGCACAGGGATATCGGGATGTCTGGGATGGGCACAGGGACACGGGGGTGCTGGGGACAGGGATGGGATGCTAGGATGTCTGGGATGGGGCCACTGGGATGTCTGGGATGGGGACAGGGACATTGAGGTGTTTGGGACAGGGATGGGGACACTGGGATGGGGACACAGATGGAACCTGGGGTGTCAGGAATTAGCCGGGGTTCTCATGTAGCGCCCCGAGCGCATGTAGGCAGAGACCTTGTCCAGGGCCTGGGGGGACAGGGACACGTGGGGACAGGGCAGACACCAGGGTCAGGGGGGGCACTGGGGTGTCTGTGTAGCGATAGGGACACCATGGGGTCAGGGGTGGGGACACTGGAGTGTCTGGGATAGGGATGGGGACACTGGAATGGGTGGGATGGCATCACTGGATGTCTGGGATGAGCACAGGGACACCGGGGTGCTGGGGACAGGGATGGGGACACCAGGGGATCAGGGATGGGGACGGAGATGGACCCTGGGGTGTCACGAATTAAGACAGGGACATTGGAGTGTCAGGAATGAGATGGGAACATTGGGATGTGAGTGATGGGGACACCGGGGTGTTTGGGGCAGGCATTAGGACACTGCGGGTCATAGTGGGGGTCACTGGGGTCACAGGAATGGGATGGAGACAGAAACACCGGGGATTGAAGGATGATGCTTCGGATGGGACAAGGGAAGAGCACTGAGGTGTCAGGGATGGAGATGAGGCGGGGGGCTGTCCCTGGGCTGTCCCCGGGCTGTCCCAGGCTGTCCCCGGCTGTCCCCGGGCTGTCCCGGCCCCGCTCACCTCGAAGCGCTGCAGGAACTGGGCCAGGTTTCCCTTCAGCTCGGGACACTCGGGCGCGAACATGCCCAGCCTGTCCAGCACGTCGTAGGCCAGGAAGTCCACGAAGGTGAGCTGGGGAGGGCCAGAGGGGTCAGACCCACAGGGGCTCCCCAAAACCCCCCAGCATCCCCCACCTACCTTCTGCCCCGCAAACCAGGGCCGGGAGCCCAGGAACCGCGACAGCTCCTGCAGCTTCTTGGGCAGCTGCTCCAGGAACGCCGGCTTCAGCTTCTCCTGCACGGCGGGGGGGGCACAGTTCGGGGGCCTGCTCCCCCCCAGCCCCGCAGAACCCAGGGGCATCAGCCCCGAGTGCAGCCAGCCCAGGGATGTGCCCCAGTGCCGCTGCTGGCTCGGCCCCCGTGTCCCACGTGTGGGGACAGCCCCGGGGCTGGGGGGGATCCGTCCCCCGTGACCCCCCCGGGGCACTCACAAAGTCAGGGCTGTAGCAGAGCCGGGCGAAATTCATCCTCAAATCCATCAGCTGGTTTTCCAGCACATCCACGCGCTGCTTCTCCTCCTCTGTCTCACCACCTGCGGGGTGGGGAGGGGTCAGCCCAGCCCCCACCAGCCCCGGGACCCCCCCGGGCGCGGGGACCCCCCACTCACACAGGTTGTGCTTGCGGGCGATGTAGCGCACGATGGCGTTGCTCTGGGTCAGCTTGGTGGGGCCGTCGATGAGGTACGGGAGCTGGGGGTGCGGGGATGGGGGGGGTCAGCACCGGAGACCCCCCCACACGCCCCCCGTACCCCCCTGCATCCCCCCCATCACCTACGTTGGGGAAGTCGAGCCCCAGTTTCTCCTTCTCGTTGGTCCAGTCGCTCGGGTCATAGTCAGGCGCTGGGGGGGCAGAGAGTTTGGGGGGGGGCTCCCCCAGACCCTCTGCCCCACTCGTGGCACTCACAGCCATGGGGGGTGCGGGCATTGGGGGTGCTCCCCCCGCCCCGGGGCAGCCGGTGACCCCTCCCGGGACAGATAAAGGAGAACGTTGCCCCTGGGAGGGGTCAAGGTCCTTTTATTGGGAGGGGAGCTGGGGGGGACAAAGGTGACCCCCCGAGCTGGCGGGAGGGGGTGGCGGTGGCGGGACACGCTGCCAAGGGGGGCGTCCCCCCCTTTCTGACACAGAGGAACGCGGGGGCTGAGGGCGGGGGCTGGAGGGAGTTGGGGGTCACAGCCCGAGCCCCCCTCACCTGGGCCAGGGCGGTACTGGCGCTCCTGGTACGGGGTCTCCGTGTACTCCAGCAGCAGGCGGATCGCGTGGGCCAGCTGGGGGCACAGCACCCGCTTTTGGCACCCCAAAGCCCCCCGGACCGCCCCCCACACCCTGGGACCCCCAGCACCCCCACATCGCTCTGGGACCCCCCGCACCCCCGCCCCCGTGCCCACGCCTGTCCCCAGCGTGCCACTGCCACCCCTCGGTGCCTCTCACCCCACGGATGTCCCAGTAGCCCAGTGTGACCACCATGGTGACACCCGCCCGGGGCTCTGCGAGAACACGGACCGGGACGGAACGGAACGGACCGGAGCAGGACCCTGCCCTGTCCCCTCCCCCTGGCGTCAGCAGCTGCAGGCAGGGTGCCAGGGCGTCCTGCCAGCGCTGGAGCTGCCACCGCCGCTCGGAATCCGCCCCTGACCCTCCCACATCACCCTGGGGACCCCCAAACCCAAGGGATGAGGGGACACACAACCCCCTTCTGTGCCTCACTTTCCCTCTGGGGCTGCGCTCCCTCCCTCCCCTCACTTCAACTCCAGTCACTTAAATACTTTTATTTTTCATGCTCGGTTAGGTTTTTTTTTTCTGAAAACTTTGTTGTTTTTCTAGTCGCCATTAGGTTTTCCCAGGAACGCCGGCCCCAGATGCAGATGAGCAGCACTGGGATGGGGGCTGCAGGGATACAGGGGGTGATGCCCCACCGGGATGGGAGAAGCCTGCTCCAGCCCCATCTGGGCCACAACAAACATCTCCTGGGAGTGCTGGGGACAGGGACACACGTCACCTGGACCCCTTTCCCCTCATCCCTCAGGTTGTGAGAATGAAACATTCCCCATCCCACCCCTTGCCTTCCTCCCTGTGGTGATGAGGATGGAGCATCCCCCACCAGGCACCGTCCCCCTGTCCTCTGGGCCACTGCGTCCCCACCGACAG